GCGTTCTTCATCTCCATCAGCACTGATTGGTTTTTCTTTATGATTTCAATCTCTTTTGTGAAGAAACTCCTAATCTCATTGAATTGTTTGTCTGTGTTGTCTCATATTTCGTTGAGTGTTTTTATGATAGCTATTTTGAAATCTCTGTCATTTAGATTATGGATTTCTGTGTCTTCGGGGTTGGTTTCTGGGTGTTTGTCATTTTGCTTCTGGTCTGGTGATTTCATATATCTTTGCATTGTGGTTCCTGTGTTGGCTTTGTTTTTCTTCATCCTGGAAATCTCTGGTTGCAATTTCCACCCGCCACCACTATGTGGTGGTAAAGGGCTGTGTAGTCTAAGCCCCCCGCTGTGCTCCAGTTTTTCTGCTGCCATCCGCAGTCCCTGCCACCTGCCTCCCCCTGCTGCGATCCATGGGTGGGGTCGCTTGATCTGGTCTGCCGCAGATCGCTTGGTCTGATCTGCCGCAGATCGCTTGGTCTGGTCTGCCGCGGATCGCTTGGTCTGGTCTGGTCGGTTGAGCTGCACGGTCTGGTTGCGGCACAGGGGGGCTCTCTCTTTTGCCCTCTGGGTCCCTGATGTGGGAGGCTTCTCCTTCGCCCCTCATTATCCGCTATCTGGGGTGCTCAGATGTTGATGGTACCCCATAGCAGTTCTGAGTCCTCCGTGTGGGAGTTTCCTGCTGGCTGAGAGAGCCCGAAGAGCTACGGTTTCCCTGCTGAGGGCCGCCCCTCCCCACTCTCTGGGAGCCGGGCAGACCCGGATGCTGATCTGATGGGGAGGGAGAGGAGTTCTCCTTACCTCTCCCCACTTCCTCCGGGGGCCCTGCACGTTCCACTCTCACATGTGCAGCAGTGTGGATCTTTCCGATCTAGCTTTTCACTGTCTGGGATTCCGTTGTTGGTCTGTGACTGTTCCTTTTGTTGTATCTTATGGGGGAAGAGTTCACGGGAAATCTCACTCCGCCATGATGCTGACGTCACTCCTGAAATCTAATTTTTTATATAAAATAATTTCAAATACATGACTTGCATTTTTTAAAAAATGGATTGTTATTTTCTGGATTTAATATACATAACCATTCATTTCAATTTTGGTATTTTGTAATATAGTAGAATATCTTGATTTGGATAAATAACACTGGTTACCTGTAGGTACTGTTAAAATAATCAAAGAGAACAATTTAGTTGATCTAAAAAAATTTTATTTTACACTTCATGAAGTGGGCAGTCTCCACTCTCGAGTCCAGAGAACTGCAAAGTAAGAGAAAGGGCTGCAAGCTTCTCTAGAAAGAGGCAAGCAGGGAACATCACCTGAGAAAAAAGAAGCACCTGCGAAACAAAGGCAGAGTGTTTCTTTGGCGTTAGAATTGCAATTCAGGGAACACAGGTTCTGCAGCAGCCAAAAAGGAGACCCCTGAGGAGTCAAAGTCGGGAGTTTTTATGAGCAAAAATGTGAGCCCAGAACAACCGTCTCAGTCATCTGTTAGGGAGGGTAGGTTTATGCTCAGCTCATTGGCTGACTCAAGGACATCTTCTTGTTACCAGAAAAAGTATATTTTTGCACAGTCCTTCTGAAAGTCCTGTCTCAGCAAATAACTCCCTTTTGGCAAGTCAGCATGGTCAGCACAGTTTCATATTTTTAACAAGGTGAAGTCCAGGGTACAAAATGGAGTCACTGTTGTCAACTCATTTCACAGAAACAGTGAAGTACTTGGCTTAAGTTGATTGGCTGGAGTTGCATATCTGACCTTATTTAGAAAGATCAAGGAACAAGGAAATAAGTATAGAACCCAAGTGTGCTTGGTGTTTGAGTACTGGCTGACTGGATATACTGCATTTGTGGTCAAGCAGAGTATGTACAGGGACACAAAAGTTATCAAAGGTTAGCTTTGCTGACGTTGCACCCCAGGTAGGAGTAGCTCCATCTTGTGCCTAGAAATTTATTTCAACAGTACTAATCACTAGAAATAATTTGATATGCTAGTCTAATCAGCCATATCAATTATTTGTCTGTTGTACATTTAGGTTTACTCTTCTGAGCTATTTGTAGCAGGAGCCTAGAAACTGGATTTCTTTCAGCATACTTCATGCATCTCTGGTATTAAAGATGGCAAGGGAGGGGAGCTCTGGATATAATTCAGTTTCTTAACAACCATCAGGATAATATGATATGCACATGTTCCAATCATCCTCATTTTTAATTTAAATAACAGGGTAATTGAGGAAGTTGAAAAGTATTATAGAGTTTTATGATCTGCTAATGTATTATGGTTTAATAGTATTATAATTCTTTAATAGAACCTTTATAAATGGGAACAGTTTGAGATGCAGTGTTTCCAACAGACATAAAAGAGTTTTCCACTTTTAGGTATAAAAGGAAGAGAACGTCTTCTGGACTTGACTGCCACATTTCTGGTACTCCAGTTTCTTCGCATCAAGTTGGATCAACAGGGAATAGTCTTCAAATCACTGATGAAATTGGATGACGCTTCCATTTCCAGGTGGCTTTGATTATAGTATTAAGCAACTCACCTATGTTTTTAACTGTTTCTTACCTAAACCTTACAAGAAGCTACACGGACTTATAAGTACAAAAAGAATTTGTTCACAGGGAATATCTTGCCTGTGCTTTTCTGTCATAGGCAGAGCTAACACACTATTTTTACCTCTTGGGTTGCAAAGGAAACGGGTGCAGAGAGTTTAAGTGTAGCTTATACTGGAGCCCAGATCTTTGGCTCCTGGTTTAGTACTGTTCACCATAGTATATTGATTCTATGTGCTTTTGGAAAATCCACAATATGATTGTTGAGACCATGCCAATTGTTCCCAACAATTGCAGGGCCTGGAACAAGAATACAAATGGAAACCAACATACTATGTGTCTAAGTATTTAAAAGTTATAAATCAAACTAGGCAGCTGTTAAATAAAATATGTTCTGTCAACTTAAAAGGCAAATTCACCTGTTACTTACCCTTAAAATGAGTTTATTCGAGAATAGCAATTCAGGACATGCATGCTATGGCAAACCATAAGCAAATCTGGAAAACAAAGGAGGGAGCTGCTTTTATAGAGAAAAAGGGGGAGTAGGGAGGGGCTGTTCTAAATGAAAACCCATTGAGGGGAGTAACAGTTCAGGGTGGCAACAGCTTCTCATTGGCTGAGCTATGGCATTCCTCATTGGCTGGGCTGTTGCCAGGTGAGGAGAGAAATCTTCCTTCAGTAGTAGTTATACTTCCTGTGGGAGGTGCAAGTATCTGGCTCTTCCCGTTTGGTGTAATTGAAGATGTAGGATGGAGCGTGAGAGCCCCCCTTCAGGCCTTACCAACTCCAATTTAGTTAAGGTTTCTTTTATTAATTTCCACAGTTCTAAAGTCCTACCTTGACAAATACAACTTCATAACCACCTAGAAGACCAGGTTCAAATTTAGAATTCTGGGACCACTTGAAGTTTTATGCCAAAATGTGGCAGTGTGGAGAGAGCCAGTTCTGGGGCCCTGGCCCCTAGCTCTTGGCTGACCCCTGGCACCACAAGAAGTCTGAGTGCACATATGAATACCCATCAAAACTCTATCCATACCCTATGCAAATGGTCACCCCTTGTATGTGTGTATACGCACAGACACACACACACACATACATTGCAATTTGCTTATGCTTTTTTAAAAGGCAGGATAAGGGGGAAACTAATAAAATAGTATCCATAGGGGAAGGTGGAGGAGAGGCTAGGTATCTCCTAACGTATCTTGTTTTATGGTTTTTACTTTGAAACTGCGTAAATATTTTACATAATAAAGATCAGATATCAGAGAATATAGATTAAACATGTTAAATTGTACTATAGAATGCAATCAGCTGTGTCTGGAATGTGAGGAAATAATGGCAAGAGAAAAAAGAGGGAGAGGTGGAACCTATAAATTAAAGGACATATGAACCAAAGGCAATGTGTAGACATTATTTGGATCCTGATTCGAACAAAACCCATTGTATTAAAAAAAAAAAAAAAGACAATTAGGGAAACTTAAATACTACCTGAATATTTTGTAACATTAAAGAATTATTTAAAACTATTTTTGTGTCATGTTTAAGAAAAAGTTCTTCTCCCTTAGAGATACATATTTACAAATGAAATTAAAATAAGTAAGTAGACATATTTTTACCTTCTCACAAAGACTGATTAAATTCTCTATTCCCAACATCATCAAACACAAAATGGGTACTCAGAAAACAATTGAGCATTTTACTATATGTAATTTATACCTCCACTTTAAAAAAGCAACACCTTCACATTAGTTTCCCAGAGCAACTCCTTGAGAAAGATGGAAATTTATTAAATGAATATCAAGCAAATGCTTCAAAGAACTAGTAGATGGGACTGAAAAGTTAGTATTTGATTTAATAGGCATAACCAAAGAGGCACTTCTATTAGATCATTTTCCAACTATGATAGCCATTAGGACAAGAATTAATAACTTTGAATCTACTTTTGAATTGCAATATCACAAAGTTTTAAACCAAGGTTTTCAAAAATAATGAAGTATGTTCTATCTCATTGCTCTTACTTTATTACTGTTATTGTGAGAGCGAAATGGTTTGTTGGCACTTTAATAAATAAAACTATTTTAAATAATTTTTATTTCCTATTTATTGCATATTTAAAACTTTTCTATTTTTTCTTCTTCATGATGTAATAACATTAATGTAGTAGCACATTGCATGGAGGTGTATGAACAAAATTTTCATACTAGGGGAATAGTCAGTCAAAAGTTTAGAGGCCAACTGAATTGAAGGAAGGCGAGTTGAATTAGTGAGAATATTTAAAATCCGTTTTGTTGCTTTTAGTAGTTAGTAACTATAAGAAGACTAATAACGATTGGGAAACATGGGTCTTTGAACCACTTCGGTCATGCTTGCCATTAGTATGTTCATGTCATCATGATAGTCAGCTAACATTTGTTGATTGCCTACTCTGTGCTAGAGACTGTTAAACATGTTAAATTCATGCATTTTGTTAATGCCCACATCAAACCCATGGGATCTTGCTTTATTGTCATAACTGAGGAAACAGAGACTTCCAGTGTTGAATGAAAGCTACACGATATCACACAGCTAATATCGTGTGATTGCAGCATCTGGATTTGCACCCATTTCTTCACCACCACACTGTACTGATGTCCCTTTCCCAGTTCACAGGGAAAAAAAATGAGCAAGATGGAGAGAATTTCCCAAATTTTTAGCTTCTCCTCTTAGAATTTTCTTTGAAACTTTAGTATATGTTATCACTTGTTTGCTAACAAGTTCTAGCAGATGACAGAACAAATGAAGTAGCTAGCTAATATTAATGAAAAATCTCAGAGTTTTTCTGAATCTTGAATAGATTTGAATATTCAGCAGTCTTGAATATTTGACAGCATTTTATGGACATAAACTTGAAGTTTTTATGTTATGCACATTTTTTTAAATTTCTGTTTATTGTGGTAACATTGGTTTATAACATTGTATAAATTTCAGGTGTACATCATTATACTTCTATTTCTGCATGGATTACATCATGTTCTCATGATCACCACCCAAATACTAATTACAATCCATCACCACACACATGTGCCTAATTATCTCTTTCTGGTAACCACCAATCCAATCTCTGTCTCTGTGTGTATGTTTGTTGTTGTCATTATCTACTACTTAATGAGTGAGATCATATGTTATTTGAACTTCTCCCTCTGACTTATTTCACTTTGCATAATACCCTCAATGTCCATCCATATTGTCACAAATGGCTGGATTTCATCATTTCTTATGGCTGAGTA